GATTGCGAACCAACGAGTGGATCCAGCGGACGTTCCCCTGACTGCCAAAGTAGCTACCTCTGCTGCTGCTCATGTTACACCTTCCACCTCCCAGGTGCCTGCTCGGAGTCAGAAAAAGCGCAAAGCTACATTTGAGCAAGCAGCGCCGACAAACTCCCAGCTAAGCTCTGTAAAGCCGGTTATACGGGCCACTATTAGTCCCATCGTGTACGATGTTGACGAGGATGATGACGATGATGAGGTCATCTTGATTGAATCTGACCCTGTAGATGTCTTGTATTGCACCTTGAGTTCCAGTATTGTCGGTGTCCAATATTACAAAGGTGATTTTTTCTGCAGATTTTCTTCACATATGCATTCATTCACGTGGCGTTCCAAGGTCTAGTTGGCGCTGGGGAGGAAGTCACGCTAATTAGAGAGCCGCAAAATAAATACGACAGGTATTTATAGCAAATTATCGATATCGAGCTGAAGGTTAATACTGCTGCAGGAATGCTATTGAGGTCCGGAATATTGGGGGTACTAAGGTTGGGCATGTACCGAAGCAGACGGCTGCGAAGCTTGCCCCTCTTTTGGATCGTGGCGCGATTACTCTTGAAGGTGTGATGCACGAAGGAAATTGTAAGTCTTCTGCATATACCATATAGGCAAGATTCCAATGAAAAATCTAGTGTCTGGATTTAGCTACTCACTCTCAATGTGAGAATTTGTAACATTGCATGTATCGGAAGGATGCTCACGATTCACAGGACACTGAAGATTTATGGACCGTCTGACAAGAGGGACCAGCTAGAGCCCCAGTTAATTTGGGCTACTCCTCGTCAGCGCGGGTTTCCACCTCGCGGAGTAGGAGGCGCGACTAGACAAGTATCATCTACTGCATATGCAGTCGCAACTGGACCCCCGGCAGCAAGTTCGTCGTCCACATCTCAGCCGTCGTCAAGCCAAAGGTACGGAGCCAAAGCAACGCAATCAAAGTCCCAGCAGGAGGCTATTAAAAAGCAGCAAGAGGTCGTTAGAAAACATCAAGAAGCTCTGCAGAATGCAGCTGAGCTCAAACAGATGTTGGGCGGTCTAGAGAAAATAGACGATGAGGGAAGACGTGCCTCTCTCCTGGATGCGTTATGTTCTGTCGACGACATTCTCAATCTTCCGGTCCATCCCGCTCCCCCTGGCATCGCCAATGGTGATTTGGTTGTTGATCTACTCAGGCACCAGGTAGGTGGAAGTCGCTTGTGTATTTTTCATCTACTTGATTCTCGCATGCAGAACCAAGCGCTGCAGTGGTGTATTGATCATGAATACCCGTCTTTACCAACTAAGGAGTCCGACAAGCCAGTTCAGTTTTGGCAGTACAGAAAAATTGGCTCGAAGGTGAGTTAATCTTGCTTCTTCTAAACTTTCAGTCATTCATCCAGCCATATCAGCCCCACTACTTCAACAGTTGAGTATGTGACATTGTTTGCTGTACTTTGCTCATCAATGTGGGTAGTCGCAACGAAAACTCCTCAAGAGATATCATCACCTCCTCTGCTCGGCCGTGGCGCCATCCTAGCAGATAGCATGGGGCTGGTCAGTAGGACTCTCAAACACTTAGAGGTGATATTAAGCTTGCATGCAGGGGAAAACGCTTTCCATGCTAGCTCTCATTCTTGCAACTAAGAAGGACGTTCCCACTGATCATTCGAGGAGCACACTTATTGGTAACGTCTTTTGCTTTCTCATTTGAGGGTCTTTCTGCTGATGAAGGATACCAGTTGCTCCACTCTCGGTCATATCCAACTGGGAGAAACAGATTGAAGAGCATTGCGTCAGAGGTGCAATCTCATGTTGCACCTATTATGGCGCAACACGCGACATGACACCTCAACAACTCTCGCAGTATGATGTCGTCATCACTACATACCAGACGGTCACTGGAGAATCCGACGTTTCTGCAGCTGCCGTTGATCATGGACCATCTAAAAAGAAAAAGAAGGTTGAAAGGGCGCTGTTCGACGTGAAGTGGAAGGTGAGTGAATAATGACATGAACACAAGATATAACCTATCTACTCTCTGTCGTTCAATTAGCGAGTCATTCTTGACGAAGGACACACGATTCGTAATCCGAAGACGAAGATGGCTAAAGCTGTTTGTAGACTAACGTCCCAACGCAGATGGGTGTTGTCTGGCACTCCCATCGTGAGTGTATAATTTTTGGATGCCAAATAGTTCACCTACAATCCCGTATTTTTAGATTAATTCTCCAAGGGTGTGTTTTCCAAATATATGGTAGAAGAAAAATGACTAAACCACAAATGCCTGCAGGATCTTGGGTCTATCTTGACATTCCTTCAGATTTGTCGTCCACTCGACAAGGAGGACTTCTATAAGCGCTTGCTCCTACGTCCTTTGAAAGATGGAGATCCTTCCGGTGCAGAACTGCTGCGAGTGAGTAGTTACTACCCTATGTCGAATTTTACTGATTACTACGGCTATAGGCTCTGATGAGTCACGCCTGTATTCGTCGCACAAAGGAGGTAAGGTACTGCAGATTACAGACGGACAGTCCTGATCGAACCTGGATTTTGTAGATGCAAGACAGATTTGGGAAGCCACTTGTGCCTTTACCTCCGGTAGTGACGACTGTTGTTTGCTCCAAAATGTACGATGGTTCTAATTTCTCTGTTAGGTCGATATTACTGTCATTCCAGTTCCATTGGGAGATGAAGCACGAGTACGTTTTGTGTGCTGTTGCAATATTGGTCACACTCAATGTCATATAGGCTCTCTATGATACTATTGGTTCAATATCTCAGCAACGAGTGGAGAAGTTCATGAACCAACAAGGAGGGATGACCACTGCGGTACGTATTCCCCGATCGCAAGGCCAATTGTTGTTAACCTGGGTTCCCCTTATAGTTCACGACAAACGTCCTTAGTATGCTAACACGGCTACGACAAGTAGTTCTGCACCCAGGCCTTCTTCCTCCAAACTACTTGGAACAACTTCGTGCTACAGAGGATAATGAAGAAACTGCAGGTGTCGCTCTCCCGGTTACTCAGGATCAGAGGCGCCTGCTGCAGAGTCTCCTCGCCAAAGCTATTGAAGACAGTGAAGAGTGTCCTATTTGCTTCGACGTCCTAAACGATCCAAGGATCACGGCTTGTTCCCATTCTTTCTGTCTCGCATGGTCAGGATTCGTCATAGTGCTTGACAGCAACAGTATTCTGATTTAGTTTCCAAAGCATTTCTGAAGTGATAGCCAGAGACCCGAAATGTCCTATGGTACAGCTATGTCTATAGCAGTCTTCAGTTCGTTGACATATCTCTAGGATCGCCGTACCATTGGGATGGGCGATTTAATAGAACCACCACCTCCCACTGAACTCACTCAACTGCCGGTCCGTCATGACGAGAACGAAACTCATGATAGCACACTGCGATCCGGATCGTCTGCAAAGATTGATCAATTGATCCACCTCCTCCAACTCATCCCTAGCGACCAGAAGAGCCTTGTGTTTTCCCAGTTTACTTCATTCCTGGATAAGGTGCGCCTGAAGCCTTAAGGTATTGCAATCATGCTCATGTTACTGCATCCAGATCGGCGAGGCCTTCGAGGAGCATGGGTATGATCTTATTACTGATCGCTTCTCCCATTAATGTTAATTGCATCGTAGCATTCCATATGTGCGATTCGATGGCCAGCTGTCAGCTAAGCGACGGAAAGAAGTCCTTGAGCAGTTCTCTATTCCACTTGAAACTGAAGGGGATCTGGTTGACATCAAGACTTCCCTTCCGCCACGCAGAAGACGTACCTCGACACAAACAACTTTCGTGGAAGAGGATGTCCTTCTGGAGGACGATGATTCCAGCTTCATCGTAGACGATGCTGACGATGACACTGACGACTTTCAGGAGGACATCTCTACCATGGCAAAGAAAGGCAAGGGAAAGTTGAAGCCCAAGAATAAGGGTAAAGCGAAAGCAACATACGGCCCATCAACTAGCCAGAAAGCTAAATTCGATGGCTCCTCTTTTGGAAGCAAGATTCCCAGAGTGATGTTGATTTCTTTGAAAGCTGGATCACTGGGTCTGAACCTAACTGCTGCCAATAATGTCTTTTTGTAAGTGATATATTCTCATCGTTGCAACTTCAAATTTACCCGGTATCGTAGGATGGACCCGTGCGTTTCCCTATGATAGCTAATTTCAACGAACTGACCTTAACCCACCCGTATTAGCTGGTGGCAGGCAAGTTCTTCAGTCTCCCCTTCCGCAGCAACGACTTGACGTACACAACAGGAGGGTATTGAAAGTCAAGCAATCGACAGATGCAATCGGTGAGCTGCAGCACGTGTCTTCTCCCATTGACCGAACTAACTTGAAGAAGTATTGGACAAAAGCGACCAGTTCACGTTTACCAGCTGATTGCCGAGAATACTGTCGAGTCCAAAGTGCGTTCGCTGAATTAAAGGTTCTATCTTACTGAAATTTCCATCAGGTCATCGAGATACAAGAGAGAAAGAAGTTTCTGATTCAACAGGCAAGTGTTAATGACCGCTTTCTAGTTATGGCACACCTCACTAATCGCACGTTTAGGCGTTTGCTGGAACCAAGCGTACGGAGACTCCAAGACAAAAGAAAGAAGCTAGATTGCAAGGTACGTGTCTGGTCACTGACAACAAGACAGACTTTAGAGTAAGTTTTTCTAGACATCCTCGAATTGATGGGTGGCATCCGCCAGCAACTTGCTTGATGGGCTTGAGTTATTTCGCCTGTAAATCATTGTCTATATCCACGATGTCAATAATTTCGCCCTCGGAACGTTATTACGAACACCTAATAGTTGAAGCAGTACTTATCACCTATTATAGGACAATAGATCTAGCTATGTGGAAGATGTAAGTGGAAGAAAGGTGATGTAAGAGGCACCGATTGTTGTGTATTACGTAACCTTCGTAGTTGCTTCAAGGCCTCATCAAATTTCAATTCGCTCGCAGTTCCAATAAACCGAACAATCAATGTGGTTTATGAAGTCGCGGAGTGATAGATTTCTGTACAAACAGTTTTGTACACTAATGAACAACGGTAGGAAGCGGACTGCTACACAACTCGTTTGCTCCCTCGATGAGAACACGAGAGCTTTCCCCAGACCTAGGACTAGTTGGAGAAACTAACTCAATCTCTTGGGTAAGCCGATGTTGACCTTGCGGAGTCTCAAGATCATAGGTGCTAATCGCAGAATAAAGTGTTGACGGACCCTCTCTGACACCGAAAGAGTCTCTGAGTGGGAACGAGTCCAATAGACGCAAGCCGTCAGAATCAGACACCGCTGAATTAAGGTCCAGTACCATCCGACACCCAAGGATGATTTCGATGACAGCTGCGAATCCCTCTGGAGCTTCGAACCAGCTAAACTGTTGTTGTTAAAGTCAGTCATCAGTCAAAAGCAGTTTGCGGCAGGACCAGACCTACCCCTAACCCTTGCCAGATTCCCGTATTTACAACGTTCGCAACGAGTATGCTATCGGGTGCGGTCACGACAATGGATTGCAGATATAATTGGCTCTACTTACCAGAGGAAGTAATGGAGGTTGCCATACACGAGAGCATCGACAAGGTCTTTTCTTTCCATGCGGAAGATGTTGAAGCCAAATCTACCGCGTTTAAATCCGATCCTTCCTGCAAGCACGAATAGAAATGTTCCAAAAACAATATCGGGCAACCACACGTAAGCAAGCACAGGCGGCGCGTGCGTGACGGCACAGATTCTAATATTTGGCATCGGCTTATTTGTATCTAGAAAATGTCAAATTTGGAGTAATTGTGCGGATGAGTGGATACTCGCTGGTATTCTCTGCCATGCCTATTCCTAAAAAGATAGACATGACTATAACCTCAATCGTAAATCCGACCGCCATCGCAATCAGGACCGCTAGAGATCGGCGGTATAGAGCGTACACTCGGAGCTGCAGTATGACTGAACAAAGGTCAGCGATTTCATCTAAAGACATGAAACATGTCTCACGCTGAACTGCCCAAAGAATGCAGAAACTGGGCCACCCTTGAATGTTTAGGAATAATGAACCTGAATAGCCTTATAAGACTTGGCATCATAGCTGAAAATTCCTGCTCACAGCTAATGATATTGTTTCAGTGTTAAGGTAGGGTGAACAGCTGATGTGATAACGATGTTCGGAATACAACTTACAACTAAAAGGTGTTTAGTTTCCAGAAATGGAGTAATAAGAAACATACCTCTTTAGAAGTGTGTTTGCTCATAAATGCTGAAAAAAACGTCATTCTGCGATGATTCGAGGCTAAGATAAACGTTGACTACCTGAAGCAGAGAGACTACACGGGAAGTCAGCGATTATAGTATTCGTTTTGGACGAGCAAGAACTCACAATATGAGTGCGCCGCCACCAAATCTCACCTAACTGACATTCAAAGGCATTCTACAAGCATGAGCGAATCTTACAATGATATATAATATGTTGGAAAATCTCATCGGCCGTCTCTACGATAGTATTCTTGAGCAAGTCAAATCCTGCATATGTTTGACGAAGACGGACCCATATAAACTCAACCTGTAAGAAATGAGACAGTCGAACCCACACGATGACGGAGATCGCACCTCTCGATCGAGCGTGAGCACTAGCCCAAAGCATCAGTGCGGACTGGTCTTGACACACACTCTGAGACGTACAGTAATCATAACAGAAAATGATACAAGGACACACTATGATATATTAAAAAAAAGTAAGTCAGAATGTCGACCAAAGCACGTCTATAATACTCACATTGGCAGACACGAGTAACCCACACATTGTGAGCGGCAAGCGCAAAAGCTTGCGCGCCATAATTTGCGAGGTCTGGATTGTATGACATGATCGATATTTTTCTGAAGGGTCCAAGTCTTGTTGAAAGAACCTAACTCAATTCACGGGAAGGAAAGGACGAGGGACGTTGGTGGTCCTGGAGAAAGGTTGGAAACGAGTTCGATTGGACATATGAACGCCAGGGTAACTTTAATCAGGTCATCATGCTTCTCGAAGTTGACAATTAATAGAAAGCAAAGACAGAAGCTCTTGCGCTTTTTTCACACGAATGAGACGTAATCAATCCGTTTATCCTTATTAAAAGAAAGGGTCACCCTTAAGTACCCTTCACAACCATATATTCAATGTCCATGTCATTCATCGAGATCGTAAAGTAAACATACCAGCTGGGCAGAATTACATAGCCTGAGTGCTTTCTCTGTTCAGAAATACGAGCGAATCTTATCACTGTAGGTCAAAATTTCAACCATTTTGTCGTAAGATATCTATACCCGAAATCTTGGTAATGTGTGTACAACTTACTGATAGAGAACCCGGTCAGAAACAGAATGCCGAATGCCCATATAGCATATGCCATAGCCTGCAACAAGAGCCAAGATCAGACCTCAAGGCAATCACCCATGCTGCACCATCAAAATAAACATGAGGTTGTAAATGTACGCACGACAAGAGAGAATGATGTTTAGCGGAGCAAAGACCCGCAACGACGCTCCGACATTAAATGAGTATTCCTCGGGGCGCTGGACAGAGACGAAGGTTCACATCATGTGGCGCCGAACACTTATCATGGGAGATTAATGGGCTTTGTTGCAGAAAGTAGACTTGGAACATAACAGGAATAACTTTGCGAACCACAACAAAGACAAAATCCACGATCCACTCGGAGATGAGGCCATCGGCAAAACAGTTCGGTTGGAAGGATTTGAAGTCACGTCCATGATCGTGATCCCCGCACGAGGTTGACACGAGGCTGGAACTGTATAGTTCTCGGCCTTTGCCGGAGAACTGGCAAACCTTATTCTTATGTGGTGGCACAACAGGAGCAAACAGCCGCTCATCGTCGCGCAAAAGGTCCAAGGCCACCTTACATCAAGATCCCTCAAGTACCTCAAAATGGCCACCACCCTTCCAAAGGACGTTTCAAAAATCGGTCAGGAAATTAAATTGTTTGGAAAGTGGGACACCCAGGAGTATGTTTGGATTTGTCGATGCATAGTCTTTATATTGACGTGATTTCGGTCCAGTGTCGAAGTAAAGGACATTTCCCTCACGGACTACATCCAAGTCCGCCATGCTGTCTACTTGCCCCACACTGCTGGTCGTTATGCCAAGAAGCAGTTCAAGAAGGCACAAATGCCTATCGTCGAGCGATTGGTTGACAGGTGCGCCAAAGATCCTTCCACGAAGGTGTAGATGCTGAAAGTTTGGCCATAGCTTGATGATGAAGGGCCGCAACAACGGCAAGAAGCTCATGGCCGTCCGCATTGTTGCACATGCATTCGAGATCATCCACCTCCTCACCGACCAGAACCCCATCCAGGTCTGTCGGGCGAAAGTTACTGCATAACACAAGTGTTAATCCATACATAGGTTCTCGTTGACGCCATTGTCAACACCGGCCCTCGGGAAGACTCCACCCGTATTGGTTCTCAGGGTACCGTCCGCCGTCAAGCCGTCGATGTCTCACCCCTGCGGAGAGTCAACCAAGCTATCTCCCTCCTAACTATCGGCGTAAGCATACCCTGACCTTCATAATTATTTTCACACAATTAATTTGGTATCAGACGCGGGAGTCTGCCTTCCGCAACGTAAAATCCATTGCCGAGTGTCTTGCTGATGAGCTTATCAACGCTGCCAAGGGTTCCTCGAACTCTTACGCTATTAAGGTAAATAAATGTCTTTGACAATAATCATGACCTCATCACCGCTGTCAACAGAAAAAGGATGAGCTTGAGCGTGTTGCCAAGTCCAACCGGTGAAAACCGCTGCTCGCGTACTTTGGGGGACTTGTGCAATCCGAGTGCGACTGCTGTGGGCTTTCTGGATATTCATTTTTTCTGCTTCATTATCAACGCCGCGCTCATGCTGCACTCATGTTTCTCTATGTGTATGTTAACCACGCTGACATTATGCATGCACATGATCCCGCATCAACCATATGCTACATAGAATGGGTGGCTATGTTCTAGGAACGTTCCCACAACGACAGAGAAAGTTAACGTTTGAACACTGCCTTACATTTGGACTTGTCACCGCTGGTGGAGCTTATTTATCTCACATGGATCGGACCTGGGCCTGATCACGGAGCTATTCTGCGCGCGTTCCAACCAAAATCCAGGAAATTGAATTAGGTGTACAAAGAAGCAGAGTAATTCTCAACCCCAGGGATCAAATGAGATATACACCCCATGCAATCTGATGGGGCGCGGGGTCCAAGCCGTCTCAGCCTCGAGTGTCCTGTCTTCGACGGCACTCGTATAATAAGTAGAAGTACATATGTACGTTTTATCTCCTTCAACAAACAGGAAAAAAGGACCGCGTTGAGAGGACGAGAGCCGTATAGATCGGGATAAATACAAGGAATGAGAGGCCAGTGCTAGATGCGATGGGATGATGGCGGTGACGATGCAATTAGCACATCCTCTCAACCCAATGAACAAGAGTCGGCAGACCAGCAGGGCAGTGACGGTACGGAAACGGGCGGATCTCGGCAGGCCACGGCCAGGGCAGAGGTGATATCGATGACAAGTGATATGAGTAATAATACAAGTTTGATCTAAAGTTGGGAGCGCTAAATGCACTGGTCTGCAGCAGGGTGCTACGAAAGGTTGGACGAGGTCGCTAGAGCGCAGGCAACGTCTGTTGAGGAAAGCTGGCGCGATAGGGCGAGAGATCCGGAAGGCTTGAAAACCTTCGCCGTAATGAAATCCGAGAAAATGAATCCAAAATTTTCCGTGGATTGCAAGTAAAACCATGACTCCAGATGATAATGCCGACAAGAAATGAGAACCGCATGAAATGGTGTGACCTCTTATGGCCTGCTACCGGAGTACAGACGCGTGCCGGGATGAGTCGCCTGTTATCGGTCCAGGAGCAGGCTTGGGGACGACGCCGGCAAGTCCGAGATAGCCAATGTCTCGGCCGAATTCCTTGATCATGGCTTTACCCATCAGGCAAACCCAGCCGAGGCCCTCTCCAGTTACACACTGGCCAGGCCAGAACAGTTCCCCTTCCTCATCCTCGATGTCAGGTTCGTGTTCTTCGTGCGCAGTCAGGCTCGAACTCATCATCCGGGCAAATGTCGTGGGATAATGCCGTGCCAGTATGGGCAGGGTCAGAGTGCGTTGAGCATACTCCATACAGTACCCTGCAGCCATAACGCCACCGGATAGCTCCTTGACGTTAAACGCAAGTGCAGGATTAATGGGCGCTGTTGCCTTGGCGGCTGCTTCGACCATATTGTAGCTCGCAGTCTGTCCCTTGGCTGTCTGAGGCAAAAGACCATGCATATACTGTGGGAGTGCGGTAGAAATCGGAGGTGCTGAACGCGAGGGAGCGGGCGAGTTCACCAGATTGATACCGCTCGAGATGTTCACACTCGGAGTGCCGCTCGCACTGTTGTTTATGGGTGTAGAATTCGCACTATTGACAGGAGCTATGCTTGCGGGGGAAGGAAGCATTGGTGGTGTAGGCTGTCCGTCCGCTTTCTCCGCATTGCTGCTGAGGATCATCATCTCAGCCTTCATTTTCGCCCATATGCGGTCCATTTCAGGTTCTATGACGGTCTTTGCTGAAAAAAAGAACTTTCGCCCATGGATGAATCCTTCAATCATCCAGCTGTGTGCGTTAAATGCGTAAGCAGAACGAAAATCGTAATAAGGGAGTGCTTACATCAAGCCCAAGAGGGCTTTTTCACGATCGCCAATCGTATCAAGCTCAGCGATCCATTTATTTTTACACCACCCAAGGAATGCCTCGATAGTGGCCCAAGTCTCACGGAAGCACGATTTCCTGCTGAAATCCTTGCTCCACAATGAGTAAGTGAAGCATACAAGTGCGTCCACGAGCTCGAGCCGCGCTATGAGCCCTCCATGTTTATGATAAGGAGAATTTGGGGGCGGGGGGTTAGCCAGTGGACGGTACTCCTTGTGTGTGGCAGGATATGTGGACCAGAATCGAGCATCGCCAGAATACTTGAGCATTCTACCATATTTGTGATATATATCATGCATTTCGTCGAAGGAGGTGAGTGCTGGACGTCCGCGCCGCGGACGCCGCACAGGCACAGTGGTTGATAGAACTGCAGGCGCCGGACCCCGGGGCGTCACGGCAGTGGTATCTTCTCGTACTTCGCCATCCTCTGATGGCTCAGAACGCAAGTTGAATGAAGGAACTGCATTTGAAGACCTGAGCGGTTGCGAAGGAGGTGGTGGTGGTGGGTGGTAGTGATGATGGTGATGTGATGAGGGCTTCTCTGGTAGCCCGTTTGTTCTGGAACGTTTAACGACGTCATTTTCCTGTGATGATTCATGCTTTCTCTTGATGGGTGGTGCACTAGGGGAGTTTGACCGGGATGCGGGGGGTGACGGAGGGAGGTCTGGTGGCAGCGGTGCTGCGAGAGGACCCAAGATCTACAATGGGACGAAGAAAGAGTTTAATTATCTTGAATAAATTAGTGAATTGAGAAGTTGAATGACCTCAAGATTCTTTAAGAGTTGCTCTCTCGACCATCTACTGAAGAGATAGGATG